AGCAACAAGCCAGGGCTTCGTCTGCCGTCAATTCCCGCCTCCCCATTTTTATACCAAGAGAGAGTGATGAGCTAAGGAGAACAAGATTGAATTCAAGGACAAATGGTGTTTTAAAGAGCATGATTTTCATGTCGGTTTCGTTAAGCAGAAGCAAAATGATGTTATTTTAAGGAAGCTTTTAAATAATGCAATGGTATTCTGGTGATGAGCTGCACAGTCTCTTGAAGCTTGCCAGTGGCCGAGCTGTGCAGGGCACAGGGCAGCGGTGCAAGGGCACGGGAGCAGCCTGGTTGGGGTTTTTTTTGTGTGTGGTTTGTTTGTTTGTTTTTAAGGGGGGTAGAGGAGAACCAGGTCTCAAGAACTGTTGCTGTTTCAGACAAATTACTGCTCTGCCCTAGGACCAGTAATCAAATCAGCGGCTGCGTGCTTTTAAGCAGCACGAGGTCCACACTGGGACGCGAGCCATCCCGAGCAGGCCAAGTTTTTAGCTGGTTTTGTGGCTCCATGTGTTGATGTGGCCACTTTGCTTTCAGGCTGCCCGCGCATTAATTAGAGCATGCAGTTGCGTGAAGTGCTTGCAGGCAAATGAGGGCTGAAAACGGTGTGAGTAGCTAGGGGCTGTGACCTGGTGATGCTCTCCAGGCTGGACCATGGGCTCAGGCAATCTCCTCCTGAGCTGCTGAGCAGCTTCTGAGCTCATTTTGCAAGAGGGATCTTGCACTGCAAAGCCTTGGCATTTTCAGTGTCAGCTCTTTACTATAGACATAAATTTTTCCAAGTACCCAGATCACGTGTACGCTAAGTAAATGGCAAAGACAGTTTTGGAAATTCAAACACAATATTTCTGCCCAGATTCATTAGGGGACCAGACTCTGCAAAGAGCTGGTTATTGTTCTCCGGAGCAAAACCATGTTCCTCTGTGTGTGTGCTTTACCCGCCAGGTCCCCAGCGTGTGGAGGGACGAGCCCTGACATGGCTTTGTGGCATGGGGGACCTGCGGGGAAGGAGGACAGGGACAGCCAGCCAGTACCTGGGCTTAACACCCTGAGACAGACCCCGCTGCTAGGGGGAGTGATGTACCCTGTAAATGCATGCAAATACCAGAGGGTTTCACTCACACTATATGTATATGTGTATATATGTATGTAAGCATTTGTATATGCATATATATAAAGGGGTATATATATATAAAGGGTACACGTGTGTGTATATATATATTTATATACAACTCCATGGCCAAACTGTGCCCTTGCAGCCATGTGCCTGTGCAGAGACAGACTTTGAAAAGCAACAAATAGCTCAGTGAGAAATAGGACTTAAAAAAACTCTTGTACAAAATAAACGTAAACTCTTTGGAAATGCACGGTAGCACTTGACTTCTCCGAAGAGCATTATGCAGCGGGTGGGCTGTCTCCAGAAGTAACGTGGAAATCCCAATCCTGTGAGCCCTGGCTCCTCTTTCCTGCCAGAAGGGTTGCAGCTCTATCTGGAGCACGCAGGCAGCTGCAGGGTATTTGCCTTTTAACTTTCTGAGGGTTATGCTTTGTGCTGGTGAGCAGGGGACAATTGGCATCATTTGTGCTATTCTGTGCCTGGATGGGTTTTGTTACGCAGGGGTCCAGCTGTGCTTTCACTCAAAAAATAATAAAAAAGAAGAAGAAAAAAATAGAAAAGAAAAAAAAACCAGGTCAGTGCCTGCCCCAACCATGCTGTGAGCCCAGGCGCTTGCGGTGCTGGAAATGCAGCTCTAGCTTTTAAAATATCTACTTGAGGATAAATCCCTGGCTCTCCTTAAGTTTTAAATTCCCATTAGCAGCACTAAATTTTGGGTACAGCAGTGGCATTAGGGGGCCCTGGGGAGGGGTGGGAGGGTGGGCACCCCTACCTCAAGGGCTGCCTGCACCCCTGCCCCAAGGGCTGCCTGCACCAGTCAGGCTGGCTCCCCTGGTTTCCCTGGGGATGCCTTTGCTTGCTCTCCCACATGGGAAACTGTGCCATATGAGCAAATACCTGAAATGGCCACAAAATCAAGAGAGTAAAAAGAGAAGGAGCTGAAAGAGCAGGGCAGGACCTGTGCTAGTATCAGGTGTTTTGTCCCACCCCTTTCACCGTGGGTGAGCAGGGCTTTTTTTTTTTTTTATTATTTGGCTTTAAATAATTCATTAGGAATAGCAAAAAGTACAGTGATTGTTCATGGTGCTCTGCAGTGGAAAGTAGATAGATGGTCCCCAAATTATACCTTGATCTGGCAAAAAAATTGCACAGATCCAGCTGTAACATAAAGGTTAAAGCAGGAGGGTAAAATGAAAAGGGTATTTTGTACTGCAGCAATAGGTGTAAGTTAGGGTAGGGTTTTAATGTATGGCACATTTCATGGCCCCAGGGCTAGTTATCTTGTCTCCAGCCTGGCTCTGGGAGGTGGGGAGAAGGGTGATAACTTTCTCTCACTTATGTTGAAAAGCAGACGGTGTTAGGGATCAAGCTGCTGCCTCCCCTCGGGCTGGAAAATCGCAGGGTGTTTTGTTCATGGGGAATCCACAAGCTTGGGAGCCCAAGTGGTAACCAGACCAGGGGTTTGCTGTGATGGATGTGAATGTTTTGACAAGTGTGAGGGTGAATAAAAAAAAGTGAAGCTGAATAAGGCGAATACTTTAATCGGTGTTACTACAATGAATACCAAATGATGATGAAAGTGAAGGGAATGCATGTGCCTTATTCATGGGACCCCAAATGACATCAGATGTGAGATACATCTGAACGTATTTGGGTTTATTCCCAGCCCCACGAGTGCTCAGAGCTTCTCCCACAGCCTAGTGAGGCAAAGGATGATGGCAGTGCATCCACCCTTCTCCAAACCAGGCAGCTGGCATCCCCAGTGAGGGAGAATATGCTCCTTTTGGAGGAGAATGGATGATTTGGGCAAAAGCAGGGTCTTTTCTTCTCCGGCTGCTGGTTTCCCACTGGGTTATTTAAGTTGTGTGTCCCTTGAGGGCTTAACGATATTTTCTAATTATTTTCTCTTCCTTCTAGAAACCTTGGAAAATCTGGACTGAGAGTCTCGTGCCTGGGCCTGGGTGAGTAACCTCTGCAGCCGCCACACTTACTGCAGCCACACGCTGCCCTGGAGTAGTGATAGCTGCTCTTGTATCTCAGTAAAAAAAGCGTGCTCGCTCAGGGCCCCAGCCTGTGCTCAGTCTTGCAGATGGCTCACGGCAGAGGCCCTTACGTGTGTTAATAACAGCTCTGTGCATCAGCCGAGGTGCTTGCCCATGGTGTGAGGCAATGCTTTCCACCCATAGCGCCCGAGTGGAACTGTACGAGGGTTTATGGCATAAAATCCTTCTAATACAGCCCGATCCCCATGAGGCACAGCCCGCAGAAACCACATCTGAGATGCCTGTGAATGCCTCCAAGAGCTTTAAGTGTCAGAGCTCCAGTCTCGGGGGACAGCAATCTGCCTGGGCTGTGGGCAGATTTTTGTTTTATTTTATCCAGTGTGTGTACCTTGTTATTTCTGTTCCATACCGATTTGAAAACTAAAGAATATCTTATCAATATTTTATCTTATCAATATTTTATCAAAAAGGGCATCTATAAACACTGCGGCACGTATGTCCTGGCTCTGCAGGTCCTGTAGTGATGCTGCGGTTCCTGCAGGCTTTAGTATGTTGCTGCTGGCCTTCAGCTGCCCGGTAAGAGTGTGTGAGATGGACTGGACAACTCCTGATGGCTTTACTCGTGCAAGTAATTTCTTTGATGGCAGCTGAACCACTCACATGAAGAATGCTTAAAAGTACATATATATTAAAAAAACCAAACACTATAGAAAGAAGGAGGCTGTTTTTCTCACTGTGAGCAGCTTCCTGTGGTGCAAGGTTGGGGCATCAGGAGCGTGAAGCCCCCGGGGATGCGCAGAGACCCCCCAGGGATGGATGCTCAGCTCTGCCAGGGCCCCTCCAGCCCCGCGTTAAAGGGAGGTCCTTGTTCCCCCAGGGGTCAGAGGTGCCGGCATGTCTTTAGGAAAGCGGTTGGGTGTGCTGGGCTCCTGTGCTGCTGCCTCAGGGGAGAGTGGGTGAAGGCAGGTGCAGGCAAGGGCCTGGATTCTGCCTGCATTTGGTGCCTGCTGTGGTGATGGGCACCCCGTCCAGCTCCCTGCTCCGTCCCCAGCTGGTGCCAGTTGTGCACACAGGGCAGGTGCCTGAGGGGTTAGCTCATTTTTTCCAACATGCTTTGAGATTTGATTTTAAAATAGAGTGAAATGTGAAAGTCACCCTGTATCACAAGTCATATAAATAAGGCCTATTCTGCCAAGAAGAGCTCTTCTGGTTAAAATAGATCCAGGCTTTGAAAGGAGTTGTCGTCTTATCTGCTGCAGAGATTTTATTTATCATCCTTACAGTTTCACCAAGAGCTAATGTTGTTGTGGTAGAGAAAAGCTATGGGAAGGAAGTAGCAGCAGGAAAAAATGTTTTGCAGAGCTTTTCTTTAATTTCAAGCATGTGGAACTGCAGTAGCATCTAAATATATTGAGCCTTTGTAAGCGCAGCTGCGTGGCATGAGTGGGGGCTGAGGATGGAGCAAGTGGCTGCCGTGCTGCCCCGGGCAAGAGCAAGGCTTGGGGGAGAGCTGCTGCGCGTCAATTCAGAGCTGGGCATCTCAGCCTGTTCCAGAAGCAGTGAGCCCTACAGCCCTTGGGGTGTATGCAGGAATTGGGGAGAGGAGAACTGGAAAGCCTGAAATTCAATTGCCACCTTCTCTTGAAAGTACAGGTATTTCTTCTGCAGCACAGCTCATCCTCCCCTCCCACAGCAGATCCATCAGGTGTCTGCTTCGACTGCCGGCTTGTATGACTTTTCTAAATAGCTTCTCTTTTGCAGTTTCCTAAAAGATAAATGTGTTTCCCTAAACTCTCTGCAGCATGAAAATCTCATTTAAGGTTTACTAAAGTTTCCGAAGACTCAGCAGTCTTCCTTAAAAGCCTTCCAAAATCTCAGCAAGTGTGAGAGTGGAGTGTGCTTCATCCTGTAGTATGAAAAAGTAGGTGGAGAAAGATGCGAAGCGGGACAGAAATCAAAGGCAGGCAGTGCTAAGGCAATGTGTACCCTTTGATTATGTCCTGCTTCTCCCAGCTCACACTCTCTAATTAATTCATTTGCCAGGTGCTGCTTGCAGTGTGAAAAGTGTTGAGCCAGCGCACGGGGTCAGAGGGGTGTGTTAGCAGCGTGTTTCACAAGCAAAGACATTTGGGAAGGGTTGCTGTGATGACGGCTGAGAGCGCGAGCATCACTCTTGGGTTGCTGAACCTCCCGCTGGAGCTGGGACCATTCTGCTGGGCTGAGCTCCCCTGGGACCCAGCTTCTGCAGCATCGTGGTGCTGAGCCCTGCTCCAGGCTGGGCTTTCACCTTCTCCTTTGGGTGAGCTAATACCAGGCGAGGCTGTAATTGAGGAATCTTGGTAGTCTAACCCTGGGCAGACGCCTGGGCTGGCATGAGGCCGTTTCTGTGATGCTGGCTCTGAAACGCGATTGCAATGCGGGGGGAAAAAATAAGGTCACATTTTTCTTGTAGTTAATTCAGAGCAAATTCTGCCTGTGGAGGCTGCCTGTTGATTTTTAGAAAATATTGAGACAGCTTCCAACAACGTGATTAGCCCTGACTCCAAGGAAACGAGCAGCAGGATGAAACCAGCCATCCCAAACTCCAAAATCCAATTCAATGTAAAAAAGCACAGAAGAAGCTTTCCCAAACAAGCAGTTCCTGTAGCCACCAGTGGGATACCCTGCTCTAGCAATTGGGTACAAAAATAGATGTTTTGTGAGCAGAAAGGGGTCGGCTGCTGCCATTGCCCCTTGGTGCTTTGCTCTGGAGAAAAGCTTTTGCAAACCCAGCACATAAGGAAAAACCCAACCCCAAACGTCTGCTAGCTTGGGACGATAGCGAGGGGGTCCGATTTGCACCCAGGTACTCGCAGCATGCAGGGCTGAGGGCTTGCTGGTCGCTCGAGCTCTAGACCAGACCCACGTGCCAGATCTTCATGTGGCATTGCCCTTGGCAGGAGCAAGCCAGGGACAAAATCATACTGGTAGGGGGCGAAGCTTTGGCTTTCAGCCAGCAACCCTTTTTTTTCCTGCAGAGGTGACAGAGCTGCTGGCAATGACATTATTGAGTGGTGCATTTTGCATCAACAAATAACCCAGCAATGATCACACCTTGCTAGGCTCTGGGATGCGATGGGAATGGAGCCAAATCTAGTTTTAATACAGAAATTCTTCTGTTGAAGGTGAGGATGTCCAGCTGGGAAATTGCTTTCCAGTGTGAGGGAACAACGTGATGGGCGAGGGGCAGGAGTGGGAGGTCTGTCTGCCACTGCCAGGCTGAGTCGGGGGGGGGACACGTTTATAAACAGTGAATTGGGATAGACAAGAGAAAGACGATGACTTGGTAAGGGGAAAAGTAATGATTAAAAAAAAAAAAAAATCTTTCTCTAGTATATTTTTCTTCCAAAATACTCCTGTTGGCTGAGGTTGTGAATCATCCTCAGTCATTGTTTGAAATGCCAAGTGCGCCTTGTACTTTCTGGAGTGATTTTTTTTTAATCAGAGTTGAGCAGCAGGCGCTGTGCTGTGCCACAGCCCCGGCAGCTGCCCAGCTGCTTTGGGTGTGGGTGCCCACTGCCACCCACACTAGCTGCCCGGGGGTGGTCACGGGAGGGGGATTTGTGTACTGCCTTCCCTGCTCCCGGCTCTGGCTGGGACCCTAAAGTCCATCTCACTTTCTCGATTGCATCTGATGCTTTGGAGATCACCTTGCTCAGCAAAATCTCACCTCCCTGCCTGGTTTTTGCAATTATTAAGGAAAAAAGTACCCCAAGGATTCCCCACCTGTGTGGTCCCGATGATGCTCGCTGTTCAGGGATCCCCAGGCCCCTTGGGTTCCCCCCCGCTGGGGTCTGGGAGCACAGGGGGCAGACAGGGAGATCCAGGGCAGGTATACCCAGTATTGCATATATTTACTACTTATACTTAAAGAGATAAAGTGTTCGTTATTCTTACATAAGCCATTTCCAGCTCTCAGGCTGCTCTCCATATGCCCAAACGCTTGAGCATTTTGCCTCTCTGTTACGCTTTGCTGCTCGGTAAGGCACGGTTTGTGTTGTAAGGTCATAGTCACCTAAATTCGAGAGAGGATGTGCAGTCCACAAAATGCATAAATAATTCCTTTTCTTCTCACCTATGCTGGGGACTTGTATGCACACTTAAGCAAAAAGATCACTTTGGGATAAACAGTCTCAACACGTTATTCAGTAGAAATGCATTTTAATGTATTCCTAGAAAAATAACACTTCTGAAGCTTTAGCATGGAAATTGGGCTTCATTTGGATTTTTTCATCTGCATAAAGAAGATTAATGATAAACTGAAATCTATTTTCATTTTTATCTTTGTTGTGTGGGACCAGAGCATTTTACTCCAATGATAACTTGAGGTCTATAACCAGCAAGGCGTAGCAGGGGCAGGCAGGGGTGGCTGCCCACTGGGGGGGCTTTGGGCTCCGTGGGTGCTGCTGTCACCCTATTATTGCCCTTAGAGAGAGCAGAAGTAAATGCAAAATTAGTTAGAAACGTGTGGTGTTTTCTCATGTTTTATTTTGGTAGCATTAGCTGTGTTATGCGTTTCTGATCTGTGAAACTTGGTGTTTTCAGAGCTTGGGCTATCCTGCAGGAAATCAAGAGTTTCAGTTTAAACATACAGTAAACGCATCTTTAAAAATAACTTTATTTATACTCAGAAACGTGATGTATAAAAAAAAAAAAATTCCAATTAACCTTTTTTGAGGGAAA